ATGTACTTCCCTTCTTCAAAGTATTTTTACAATTTTTATTGATTTATAATTCATCCTGGGTAAATAACAATGTGTTATACTTGAATAGCATTCTTCTCGTTGTAATACAAAGTTATTTTTTTTACTTTTCTTATCATTATATTATTCCATTTATTATCTACTTCTGTTTCACTCCTTAGCTTTCTTGATTATTACACTATTTCAGAGTTGCTGTTGATTTTATTAAAATCTAGAAAAATAAATCCTACCAGTTGTATAAAATGCTACATCTAAGACAATAAAGCTTGTAAAGTTAACATTGTGATGAGGTAAAAATTACATATTTGTTATGCATGTTTACATATACTACACCATAATACATAATAGTTCCTGCCTTATGGAACAAATTGAACCCCCTTCAATACCTCCAGTAAAAAAATTTTTTAATTATCTTAACAGTTGATCTCAAGCTTGAATAATTAGAAAAATTTAGATACCTGACCAATAAAATTCCCAGATAAAACAATGATTTCTTCCAGTCAAGCATACAGTACTGTGCAAAAGTGTTAGAACAAGAGAATATTTTGTCATTCTTTCCATTTTATAGGGCTAATTCTTCCATGCCATTGCATTATGGTAATGCTTCACTGATCCCTGTTGACAATTGAATGAGCCACGGTGAGAATACTTATCATTCTTTAGAATTCCCATATACTTGTACCAAGGGCGTGTCATAAGGGTTCTGCTTGAATGAGCATACTGATTCAAATTTAGGGTCTGAAATAACTGTCATGGTACCCCATGCAGTGCCTTAATTATATAGAAAGAAACTACCAAAGAGCTAGCATATGATACCGGTATATGCTGGAAGAAATCAATTTAATAGCATTCCACAAATAAACCTTGATAAAAACAGTATTTAACACTATATATTAAGTTTTTTTGTCATGCCATGTCCCAAAAAGCATAGAGAATTGTCAGTAGAGTTTTACGTGATGCTGGTTGAGCTCTCTGACAAATTGCTCCAGACTTGAAATGCTCCCCAAACACTGTCATGTACACCTAGATTGTGATACCAAGACAGAAATAGAAAAGGAAAAAGCAGAACACCTAAACTCAATGATACTGATGTTAAGTATCTTCGTTTATGCAGCCTTCGGGGAATAAGGAAGACTGCCACTGATCTCAAGCATGAGACAAATGACCACGTACCAAATGACAGAAAAGTGTCCAGATATACAGTATCAAGAAGACTCAACAAGAATGGAATATTTGGTCGTGTAGCAGTTAAAAAAAACCCTTAATATTGATCTCCAAGTATGCGTTTTGCACCACCAGAATCACAACAAGAAAGTATGCAACACTGAAGTGGACAAACTTTCTCCTCCACCTGAAGAAGTCCAAAGGGCAACACCCCAAGCTTGGAATGATGGGATTATGTATGCCATACTCAATCAAAGGAACAGAACTCATCTGGTCTGGAATTATGAACATTTAACCTCAGTCCCCAACCAAGTGGGCAAGGAGTAGAACAAGAATGTAATACGCATTGGGGAGTTTGGAGGAACAGTGCTCTGGAAACTGTGCAATAGGTGAACCAAGTTCCCTACATTTCTAAAAGCAAACCAACCCCTATTTATTCAATCTGAAGATCAGCATGGATGGGCAGAATCACCTTTAGCTTTACTCATGATAGTCCATGAGTAGCAGTCTATGATAAAAGATAATACCATCCTGTACGTGCCTAGATGGTCTTATGGAACACCCCATTTTGACAGTCTCTTGCAACATGTAGTAATTATAGTGAAAGTGGTTGCTAGTGCAGAATTGAAAAGAGAAAGCATACCTGCCTGGGCAATGCTTGCCACAGTGTCGGATCCAGTGAAAAATAAAAGGGATCCTGAAAATAAAAATAATATATAATTGAAGAAATACTCACCCCTGGTTAAAATCTAACAGATGTGGTCAAAATAGCTACAGAGGATAGTGCCAGATCATGTAAGTAATGAGATAGGAAAGTATTAGTAGTAATCCACATACCAACCCGCACAATGTCTTCTAGAGGGCAATTCAACCAAGCAGCTAATCTGGTGAGATGTGACATGCAAAATAATCCTCTCCTCTAACGATAATCCATTATAGGGAATGTGAATCAATTTACGAAGCCACAACATTAGAGTAATGGGAGATAAGTCACAGGAAATAGAAGGATTCCAATGAATGAACAATTGATTCCTACTACCACGAAAGGAGTTAGTACGAGCCACATAATACTTGAGGGCCCTAACAGGACATAACAAACGATCAGGACTGGAGCAGTCATAAAGTTGAGATATGGCTGGCAAATGGATTGGTGAGAAGGGAGGGGAGGAAGGATGGGTAAATATTATTGGAAATAAATTTTTGGTATAGGAAAATGTTAACTTCCGAAACACGCCTCTACTCACATTTTAGCTCAAATCCCACACGAACAAGGTGGAGTGGCCAGTGAGGGCAAGATCCACACAGAAAGCATCTGCGTAGAAAAAAAGTGTGTGAAAATGAGATATAGTAATAGCACACTAGTGGGATCCTCACTACTTCTGGAACAGGTATGCTTTTTGCCTTGACAACATGAAATCTATTTTCTGGGTGGTAAAGGCAGACCGGCCACAGAGGCAAAATCCTAACATCATTAAAAGAACATAAATTTGTCCAGGTCCCAATCAGGAAGACAAGGTCCAACTTCTCATCATTGGAATTATAGAGCTGTGGACCCAAATCTAGATCCAAGGTGTAGTGGCTAGGACATGAAGATTTCTTTTTATTGGCCTTGTTTAGTAATGTGGTATTATTGGAACCCAACCTGAAAGTTAGAGAATGTTGCATGTTGAGCCACCGAAATTACAAAGAGAAGGCAAGCAACACATAAGTGGACAAACTTTTACCCAAACCTGAAGAAGCACAAAATGCAACAAACCAAACTTTGAATTATGGGACCTGTCACACCTCATTCAACCTAAAGAAACAGAGATTGCACAGCCTGGGATTAGAACCCAAAATCCTAACTCCACAGCTTGAGAGGCAAGGCAATACCTTCTACCCAGAATTATGAGGAGGATGCGAAACAAACTCAGTCCAACCAATGGCACAAGAATTAACGCTTCATGTACAGAAGTACAATGAGCTGAGGACCCTCTTTTTTTTAATCATCGAAATGAAGAGAATGACCAAAAAGAAGGGCCACACTCAACTCAACTGGATAGGGAAGAGTCATCTCTGAACCTCCAAGTAGGCTAGTCCTGCTCCTACCATACATCTGGGAAAACCATTCAGGGTTATTGGTAGGAGGGCACCCAGTTTTGCCCTCTTCTCCTTGAGTGGAATAATGAGTTCAAGCATCACTCAGGAGGAATAATCCTTTGACCACTGCTCCAGCAACTACAAACTGGGAGTGGTAAGGATTCCCACAATCCACAAGGAAAAATGGGGGGATACTTGCATTGGGGAGTCCCAAGGAATGATGCTCTGGAAATATTGCAATAGGTGAACCACATTTCCTATTTTGAAAAGCAGACAGGCCCCAATATATTTAATCTAGGGGTCAGCAGGGATAAGAAAATACCTTAAGCTTTACTTATGATAGTCCAGTACTGTATTTGTCCTTGTGTTATAATTGTTTTCCACCCAGAAATGCACAAGATGGTCTTATGTAACACCCCATATCAACAGAGCTCATTGCTAACGGTCGACTGGTAGCTAGTGCAGATTTGGAAGGATCCAAATGAAAATGACAAAAGGATCCCTGAAGAATAAGAGATATAAACACAAAATATTAGTGAAATCACTTTTAAAAATTATTACTTCGAAATTTCATTTTCATTATTTTGTAAAATAAAGAAAATAGACAACTCCAGACCTAAGAAGACATGTCTATAAAAAAAGGAATCATCTAAAGCATAGATATAATTAAAGCCATTCAACACTGAAGAAAAACTTGCAGCAAGCACATCAATTGTCGGAATGTTCTGCTGTTGAGAAAAGTGAATAGGAAGTAATAATGGGGACATTTCTTATAGCTCTGGGATAGGTGCTCATTGATGTAGGTGGAGAGAACCACAAGATTTAACTATTTAACTTGCTTTGGGCAATAAAGTGGGGTATAAAGGCTGAAGCAAGCAAGGTAAAATTCAAACCAGTGCTTAGATGGTGGGTTTTGGAAGAAGAAATTCCTCATGTTTAGTTCACCTGCTTTACTTTATATAGTGTTCCTTTGATTTTTCTCTTATATGTACATGTAACTAGATAAACATTCATAATGTGTACATTGTATTCTTAAATGTTTATGAACTACAGAAAAACTACAATTTCAAATTTCTAGTGTTAAAGGAAGTGAGTTTGGAAATGTGAATACACATGACCTATGTGATCGTAATTAATAATATGGCACAAGTTCAACTATTGACAGTAATATCAGGGTGGTTAAAAGAAACAAAGGCACAATGAGCTATTATGCTAAATAGCTTTATATAAAGAGATCGTTTTGGTGTACCTAGTTATTTATAATCTCATTTGATCCTCATATCGACATTTTTAAAAGATAAACAAATTTATATTGATGGACAACTTTAGCTAAGAATAACTGTTTTATTTTCAATTATAAGGAAACTTTGGCCAGCAACAGCTCCCAGTCAAAGTTAAATTAGGTAGCAAAAACAGGCCTACTGCATTTTTAAACACATTTTTCAAAGTTGTTTGAATTCCACAATTTGTTGGTTACAAAGTTACACTAAAATGTAAACAAAATATCATCAATGTTGAAATTAATCTCACTAATTGCTGCTGTTTAAAAACTGTTACTGTGTTCCAGTTTACAAAAAATTTGGGTAAGTAGGAATAAACTTTTTACAAATTAATACTGAACCTAGTATTATCAACTTTTAACATCTTTTCACTTCATTTCAAGCCCTAGATCGACATTTGACTGAAAACCGAACAGTAGTATTTCCTATTAAGTATGAAAGTCTGTAGATCATTTTATCATGTTATAACACAAGGAAAACATAAAACATTTCTTCAAATTCCAATGAAATATGTTTGCTATGTAATAAATGTAAAAACTAAGTCACACTTTAAAAATAAATGAAGCACATTATCATAGACTAAATGTCCATGCATTACACCACACAAACTTTTATTTCTTCTACAGATGCAAGTTAAAATATCAAAAACACTTATGTTTATATAAAATACGCAATGCAAGTTTTCTTGCTTAATTTCTTATGAAACAACATACTTACAGACAGAGGGTCCATGAGCTTCCTCACAGGCTGGACAGTGGTATTTCTCAATATCAACTGACTCATGTTCCTTAACATCTACACAGCTATTACAAAAAATGTTGTTTACATTAGGTATATATTTACAGCTCATATGATAAAAACTCAAATAGAATAAATTTTTACAGATGTTCAACATACACTCTAGGTAAAAAGCTTAGTTTTTCAAGAATCACTTAGATACCTCTTAATAGGGAATTGACACGTTAGTGAAATGAATAGTGAAATGAAAAATTTAAGATCTACATGTGTAATCTTTAATTAACAAATCTGTCTATCAAGTATTGACGAAATCAAATATTATATTAATAACTTCAAACCACTGTGTCCATTAATGCTATTCTTTTCAAAGTAAAAGGCAGCATTTTACAATTGGATTCAATAAAGAAATATACTGTAAATACATAAACGTGGGGTTTCATAGTTTTAGATCAGCTTATATTTCCACATAGCAGCAATGAAGCAATTCTTTTATTTAATTTCAATTCAAAAAGTACACATGCATCTTGCAATGAATCTCATCATTTACTATATTCTTAAAATATTTTTAGAACAAATATAAGATGGTTCCACAGTAACTAAAGTTTCATATTTTGAAATATGTTGAGGAAAGAGTAAAAAAAGACTTGCACACAACATTTCTTTAATGATTTATAAAACAAACAGAGAGGTATTTTCATATTGCTTTGCAATAAAGATAAGCATAATAATAATAATCATGGTAATAAATAAAAACTGGTCAAATATTTTTTTTATACAAATAATGTAAATTACATGAAAAAAAAACAACAAGTTTATGGTTTGTCTCAAGCCTTCTGACAACAAAGCTGGTGCTACCATTTTTACTCCATGTATCAGAAATAAACAACATTACCTGTCATTATACCAAATAACTAAAGTTATGAAGAAAGTGTAACAATAAGTCAGTCACACTACATATATATCTGCCATATCCATCAATCACCTATAAAGCTTTCAGCAGAGGAAGAGCAGGACCTATTAAACTAATACATTATACTATATTAATATATAATAATATTTACAAAACATGTAAAAAAACAACAAATATTATGCTATGACACAATACTGTTTTATATTGATTGGGTAAACACTCAATCATTTTGAAGTATGTTAGTAGGGATGCAATTCCAAGACTTGTCTATAAGTGGATGAGGAAATATGAGGCCAAAATGGTAATCATAAAACCTTGGCTAATATGCGAGTATTTAGTGTTTAATACAAGGTTTAGATTACTTGACAATATTTGACCAATAGAGAAATAAGTGGTCACTTGACTAGAGCTGGGCAATTAACATGATATACTAGATTACCTATGAATTGACTGTCACAAAAATAATCAACTCAAACATAATTTTCCTACACAGAAAATTTATTTCTGATAGATTCTTACCTCCTCTCACATAGGAGGTAAGGTGTTGTACTGGAAGTTATAATTTGCCTACACAGAATATGTATCTCTAATTATTACTATTTTTGATCATTCCAAATTTTCAAATAATCAAAATATTGCCATTACATTTGTTCTTTGTTAAATATAAAGTTGCATAATAGGCTATCTTTACTCTGTCCATGCCAGGTATCAAAACCCAATTTTAACATTTTTTTTTTACTTCAAGATTGTTTAGCTTTGGGCCAGCATGGCCTAGTGATTTGAAGGGGGGGGGGGCACAGGATTTGAGAGTCTCAGGGTTGATTCCCAACTATACCAAACTTACCTTGCCTTTGTTATTGCAAACCCACTAATTGCTGGACAGAGGGAAGACAACTAGACAGAAGCACCCACCACTAACTGTTAGGCTATTTAAGTGTTATATAAATTGTAAATTTACTGTTTATTTTACATTGGTTTTATGTTTCTAATACATAACTGTATTCTTTAATGTTGCATAAGAAACTGCACATCTAGGGAAGGAGACCAAGGAGTCTGACCACCCCTCCATTTGTCTTCATAAGTCAATAAACAAAAAGCATTAAAAACAAATGTTAGATGTCAGTATTTTTGTTTGATTCATACATTAGTTACCATAGAAGATTTTTAAGGTTTTCTAAAATCAACACATCAACATCACTGGAGTCTACAGCAATATGGTTACAGCCCCAGCCAATAGCTGAGTATATGTAAACAACAATATGAACATCAATTAAATGGTTAGCATGATATATTTTCACCCCTTGGCTTTTTTTAAAACGCTCTAATAATGTGTACAGACATCAGAAATTTGTTTCAAATAAAGATAGTATTATTTAGGGCACCAGCATCTTTTACAGCATTGACTTATTACAGAAATGATTTTTCATTGTTTAGAAGTTGGAACTCTTATGAGAAATATGTTTTTCATATTGTTGAAGTCCAAAATAAATGAAAATGCAAATCGTATGATTGTATAATAATGAATTATCTAAAAACTTTTTTGAAAACAGATATCCTGTTTACAAATGATTAAATATGATTTTAGGTATAGATCTTATAATGTGTTCTAAATACAATTATAAATATTTAACTGTAGTTAGAAACATTGAATTGTTTTAAACTGTCTTTCTTTACAAATAAAATCACTGGAAATAAATATATAAGCTTTAAAATCACTGGATTATACCGTGACTGAGCAAATCATACTGACTTTTGTAGGCTTTCTAATTCATTGTATGCTCTGTCCACTGTGGTTATCAAAACTTAATTTTTAGTCATTATAATTTTTTTAGTCACATTGTGAAAATAATCTATTAACTCTTTCAGCACAGGCTCGGTCCCTCATACCGATCTCATAACCATTTTGTGCTTGTTATAGTTTTCATGCTATAACTTTAAAGTAAGTAAGTGAATGTTAATGAAATTTGGCACATTATTAAGTCTTAAGGTTTGTAAAGCAATGTTTTCTCATGCCATTTTTTTCTTCTCGCATGTTGCCTATCCAACATGCAAAATAATTTTCATTTTAAGAATAAAATACTTTTATACATCAGAAAATTCTCAAATTTCACATGCAAAATCTTCATAATGTCTAGACAGTTATCAAACATTTCTTAAGAAAAAACTTTATATTTTATCTGTTATTTTCACTAACAAATAGGTTCGGTAGATTTGACCAATCTTGTAACCACCAATAAAAAATTAGGAAATAAATATAAATAATTCCTCTTTCACTCCAAAGAATGAACACAAATTATATCACAAAAATATAAATGTTTAGACTAAATAGCTTAAATCTCATAACATTATACATATATATTTATTATTTTTTATTATATTGACCTTTCAGCCGTGCCTGGCTAACAATACAGAAGTTACAATGACATGGTGCACATGTATCCAATATCATAAAACTGTCAGTTTTCAATTATTATACATTATATATGTATATAGATTATTGCTATTTTGAAATAAGTTCTTACTTATTTTCCTTAAAACATAGAACAGTGAATAAAGAAGTAAAGCAAACAATTATCTCTTCTAGTTATAACCTTTGTATTCAATTGCTGCTTGACCTAGATTGCTAAGCCTTTT